TCCTTTCAAAAATCAACTCCCCTAGTTTATAAGGTACGGGCAACGGCCTTGTATAAGGTCATCCCTGATCTATATGGTTATGTGACAACTGTCACGAGGTTTTGGTGTACATCTACTATCAACGACTCAACGGACATCAACTTTAATATTTATTAATTATATATTTTTTTTCTAATTGTTTTAATATAAAAAAGTTAATTTTTTTTTAAAATCCTACTGTGGTCCGACAATATACTGTCTCGCCCAGTAGGTTGGCGACCCTTTACTTATAACTTCGTAAAACGCCATGAAAGTTACAAATTTTTCGTTGCGGCCAATTAATTTGATTTTTATATATTTGTAACCTTTCATAATATAATCAATGTTATCAAATTCTTCTGAAAAATTAGTATAAAAGACGTCCACTTGATGGTTAACATGATGATGGGATAAACATGCATATAATTATAATGTAGTGAAATCTGTCTTAATAGTAGCAATATATCTATTAAGTATAATACTGTATGGTACAGAACGCCTTTAGAAAGATCTAGTTGACCAGTTGTTATAAAGATCATTGATTATATTATTTCGTGGGACAGCTGATCACCAGCATCTTGCTTTACTCACCCCCTTGCCCACCCATCACAGCAAATCGATGACCTCCGTGTCGTTTTTCATCCATGTACAGTTCATTGTCATAAGTCAGTCAGTCGATTGTTTTTTGTGTCACTTTTTTTTTCTGTTGCAAGCGCCTTCGCTTGAATAGTAAATTATTCGGTCATTGTACGGCATAGTTTTTTATTTCTTGTTTATTGCACCATTGTGCTCAAAGTTTACGTGCCCTTGCACGACACCATTNATTTACGTGCCCTTGCACGCCACTAGTGATTGGGCCCTGACCATCACTAAATATCTTCATTGCCGTAGTCGCCTTTTCGCGGTCTGTTCTCATCTGCCATTACGTACCTGGATTTACACTCTGACTCGTCATACTCAGATGTTCGACACCATTACCACAAAATCTCATACAGTCCACTCATCACTATCAACAACGTCATCTATACAGCTGAGTTTTATACTATTTTTAATGTTAATTATTGTTTGTTCTAATTGAGATTAACTATATGTTTTATGCCGCTTCGCCGGCCACTAGTATTTAAGGCCCCCCCCGTTACCCCTTAAATTTAAGATATTCTCTGAGGAATTTCTAATATATGTGATTATTTGTTATTTAATTATTGTCTACTCTCGTTTACTTATTGGATGTATAGTTAGCCGTCATCTCCCAGGTGACCCACTCCCGCATCAATTAACGTTTTATTAAACAGGCTTAAGGTAAAACGTCATTCTAGTGCGGTGCACAACTAGCCGTCCTACGGTCTAGCTGCCTCGTACGCATCAAATACTGTTTTGATAAATAAGCATTATTGTTGTAAAATATCTCTAAATTCATCGAGCACCATCCGTGATTGAATTTATAAAAATTGCAGTAAATAATGACAAAAAAACAAATATAATACATTTTTTAGTGATTACTGATAAAGTATTAGATGTGATGAAAGTTTGGATGATATTAAGTTCTCAGAAATATTCTCACAATATATAAAATATTTAAACATATCAAAATTTTACATATCAAATTGTACAACATTTAATATTAATTTTTAATGATGTTAACATATTTTTTTATGTAAAAAAAAAGAATACTAACTAATTCATTTTTCAAATTTTTAATTTAATATATGTATTTTAATTAAAACATAAAACTAAATAATGGTGTTTAATTTTATAAGCTATAAAAAATAATTTTTAAATATTTTTATTATTATGTTGTCGCAAGTTAGTTTACAAAAATTTGACAAAATAAATGATAAGTAAAGCAAAATAAAAATTTTAGAAGTTATATTTAAATTATACATGCAGTTTTATAGTAAAAACAAATTTTTAGCATTTATTTTAAGAAATTTACTTTTATCATTCAAATCGTTGATACCTAACTTTTATTATGTAGTGAAAACTAACTAATAATTCACCAAATCGACTGTAAACTCATTAAGTTTTATATCTATGCTTTTGTTGCCACAATCAACTTTTTTGAAACCCAGATCTTCATAACACGATTTGTAAGCATCTTCACAAAAATTGTTAAGATATTTACACGCAGTATGGTATTTTTGGATTAGATATTGAGGATGTGCATTTTTCATATCAATTGTTAAATAATTGAATTCATTTATCTTACTGAATTTATCATAAAAAGGTTCTCTTATTATACAACGTGTTTTCATGTAAACAAATTCGCTTTTACTCTCTCTACGAAAGTCAATACGATATTTAGCAAACTCTCTTTTTAGTTTTTGAGCCAGTGTGATTTTTATATTATGTGGTTCGCTATTAATATCTTGATACAACTCACTGTTCTTCAATAAACGGAGAAAACTTGATACCCATCTTATTATATGCATTACATTTGATTGACAGTTGTTGCTAACAGTCCATATTGATAATTTATTTAAAGTTATTATAGCCAAATGCAATCCTTGGAGCATTAATTTAGATTTGTGAAATGAGTTATATAATTCAATCAAACAAAGACGATAGTTGTCATTATCACTTTTATCGCATATATACACTATAGCAGTTAATAATGTATAGTAATTTTTAATTATTTCTGTATACCTGCATCTTAATATTTGTGTTACAAGCGTTGCTTTTATTTGAAAATTCACGATGTTAATTTCGTCTTTTATTACATAATTTACGTTAAAACGTTTAAAATTATAAATTATATTTATGTGTTCCATATTTTTCCAACCAGTTTCCTGGCGAAGAATATTGAGAGCTTTAATTCCATCAAGTTGATTTAGTGTTATTGGAGGGATGAATCTATAAAAAAAAACATTTTGCTTATTACGTAAATATATCAATGAAATAAATTATAATATTCTTAATGAGACATTGTTTTATATTTATTAAGTTAATTTTGTAAAATATAGAATTTTTAATTTAATATTATTAAAAAAATTAATTTTTCTACATGTTAAATAGACTAACCAAATATTAGCTTAAGCTTCAAATGTAAATTTCTTACATTTTCATCAAATATATTACGTTTTAAATTAAAATTAATATCATTTTAATTGTATGTAATATTATCCACAAGCTATGAATTTTCATTATATAATATTTAAGGTGATTAATATAAAATAAGAAGTTATATTTAATGTAGGAATACTTACTCAGATGCTATAGGGTTGAGAAATTGTTCAAAGCCAAGGTTCTTGTACCAAATTTCTATGGTTANTATTTAATGTAGGAATACTTACTCAGATGCTCTAGGGTTGAGAAATTGTTCAAAGCCAAGGTTTTTGTACCAAATTTCTATGGTTACATCGTAAAACGCATTAAGATTTCTACATGTTAAATAGACTACATTAGAGTCGTTTTCATTATAGCATTCTTTAATTTGATTTGTTGCCGAATTGGTTTTTACAGAAGTGTTGATGATATTACTATTTTGAAACAGATTGTTTACCTTTATTGTTGCTTCTGTATAAAATTCATTCAAATTCTTAAAGTTCGTTTCAGAGTCGTTAAGATATGGTAATTTGTTAAGATCAAAAGGTTCGGACTTATGTATTTTTTGTGAGACATATTCTTTAAAAAAATCAATCTCATCAATTATAGCATTTGGTACATTCTTTCCTTGGAACACATATCTTACATCAAAGTCGCTTATATACTTCATAGCTTTGTAAAGGTTTTCAAACATAGTTTTGGAATTTTTCACTTCTTCTACAAGTAATGTTACACAACTAATAAAATTTTCCGATAAATTATTATTTTGAAATTGTTTACATTTATGGAGGATAACGTTTATGTAATCGAGGAAGTTTTTTAGTATTTCTGTGTACTTAAAATTGAGTATATTTATTGTATAAGAATAGTTATCTCTGAATTCATTCGTGTTCGTCTCTGATGAGAAAACTTTATTTATAAAAGTAGTATTATTTGAACCTTGGTTTAGATTTTGTTTTTCATTCAATAAAATTTGTGAATAAATGTGATATATGATAGTTTTGATATAGTTTTTATAATCATCACGATAATTAAGGCATTGTTTTGCTTCATTTGGTTTCAACGCAAAAACGGCAGTAATCACAAAAGTTATCGAATAAAATTCCATTAAAAAATATTAATATTAATATTAACTAATATAAAACTTTAGGTGATGAACATATGCAAATGTGAGCAATATAATTTTATATCTTTACTTGTCAGTAAATAAATGTGTATAAATAATATAAATCTATTTTGATGACACTATAAAATTATTTCAATCTAAAATGGAGTATATTTTTATTTTTCAAGTAATTTTTGTAGAATATAAATTATATTATATTCTATAAATAAATTTCCACACTTTAATTTCTGTTTTTTAACATTAGTTGCTAACAAGACCTTTTTGTACTATGTAATATTATTTTATATGATTAATCCTAATGATTTTAATTACAAATTATATTTTAATAGCAGTTTTATTTAATTGAAAAAATACTGATATAGATTAATTAGTTAACATTTAGTAATTACAGTAGTACTTTAATATTTATTTTATTCACAATACTATTTTTCAATCAGGTGCTTTTTAATAATTTTGAAATGAATTTGAACTTCCTGTTAATTCTATTATTTGTTTTGTGTATACATTTTAGCTTCAACGCGAAGCTGAGAAAGTATTGATTTTACTATGATGTGTTTTTTTTTTGTGTCTGTTACTACTTTTTTTAGCTCTTACCGAACCGATTTCTTTTAACAATACGTCAAAAGATCACTATACGTATCTAGTCGAATACATTACTCTTAAAAAGTGAAAAAATTTCCCTCGTTCCCTGTAAATGAGAAAATCTCAAAAAATATTTAAAAATCGTTAATTTTCGAAATTTTTTCATTTTATTTTACTTAATATTGCCATAACATTTTTAAAAATGACAAAATTGATATATATATATCCATGTTTGCAGTTGAGTCCAAAACATCAGAACTCAACTGCAAACATGGATATATCCTCAAGCACATTAAGACAATCCATGAAAGCTTTAACACATTTAGAAATTGATATAATTTTTTTTTTATAGTAACATGAGGTATTAACCTATCATTTTGTATATATTTTAGCTTCGATGCGAACCGGAGAAGGTATTAATTTTTCTAAGATGTGTTTTTTTTTTTGTGTCTGTTACCACTTTTTCTCAGCTCTCACCGAACCGATGTCTTTCAATGATACGTCAAAAGATCACAAATCGTATCTAGTCGAAGACATTACCCTCAAAAATTGAAAAAAATTCCCTTGTTCCCCGTAAATGGGGGAAACCTCCAAAAAAATTACAAATTTAAAAATTGCTAATTTTCGAAATTTTTTCACTTTTTTTTCTTAAAACTTTCATAACTTTTTGAAAAATCAACAAATCAACATAATTTTTTTTTATACTAAAACCTTAGATATTTACCTTTCATTTGATATCATTTTTTTGAAAATCTATCACTTAACCTGCTCATTGGGGGGGATTTAAAAAGGCAACTTTTTTACAAAAATTAATTTTTTCAACTTAATTTTTGAAAATGTTCCGGAAAGACTGCGTCCTTTAAACATATATCAAATTAAAGCTTATTTTATGTACTACAAAATGNTCTGTTTTCACCATGAAGATAAAATAAAGTCCGAAACTTTTTTTTACCATTTTAAAGTACATTACATTAGCTTTAATTTAAGATATATATAAAAGTGTCAGACCTTCCGGAACACTTTCAAAAGTTAAGTTGAAAAGCTTCTACTTTATATATGCATTTTTATGTTTTGAATCCCCCCTGTATTAAGGAAAATGGTCCTATTAAAAAAAAAGTATGTCAAATGAAAGATCTATATAATACTACTTCTCATAAAAAAATTGTAATGATCCATACATTTTTCAAAAAGTTATAGTATAATAAAGTTAAAAATGTAAAATACAAAATCGAAAATTTTCACACAAAATAGCATTTGGTAGCCATTTTCACCGTGAAGATAAAATAAAGTCCGAAATTTTTTTTTTGCATAATAAAGTGCTATACATTAGCTTTAATTTAAGATATATATAAAAGTGTCAGACCTTCCGGAACATTTTCAAAAGTTAAGTTGAAAAAGTTAATTTTTTGTGAAAAAGTTGTCATTTTAAATCCCCCCTTGTGGGCAGGTTAAGTGTTAGATTTATGAAAAAAATTTTATAAATCTGACCGTTTATCTGACTACAGAGAGGATTCTAAATGACAACTTTTTAGCTTCGATGCGAAGCTGAGAAGGTATTGATTTTACTATGATGTGTTTTTTTTTGTGTGTCTGTTACCACTTTTTCTCAGCTCTCACCGAACCGATTTCTTTGAACGATACGTCAAAGATCACAAATCGTATCTAGTCCAAGAAATTTCCCTCAAAAATTGAAAAAATATCCCTCGTTCCCCGTAAATGGGGGAAACCTCCAAAATAATTACAAATTTAAAAATCGCTAATTTTCGAAAATTTTTTCAATTTTTTTTCTTAAAACTGTCATAACTTTTTCAAAAATGAACAAATCAATATAATTTTTTTTTATAGATGCTTAATGTCATTACCTATCATTTGGTATATTTTTTTATAAAGCTGACCCGTTATCAGCCCACAGGGGGGATACCAAATGACAACTTTTTCACAAAAAATTAACTTTTTTAACTTAACTTTTGATAGTGTTCCGAAAAGTCTGACACTTTTATATATATCTTAAATTAAAGCTAATGCATTTTATTTTATTTTGAAAAAAAAATTTCGGAATTTCTTTTGTCTTCATGGTGAAAATGCTCACCAAATGCTATTTTTGTTAGAAAATTCTCGAATTTACATTTTACATTTTTTACTTTAAAATGCTATAACTTTTTAAAAAATGTTTGGATCAAAACAATTTTATCATGAGAGGTAGTATTTATATACATCGTTCATTCGATATACTTTTTTTTTTAAATCGGACTATATATTTATATATTACAATTATAAATCATAAAACTTGTAAACAGAATATAAATAAGGAAATAGGAGATCATGTAGCATTTGTAGTAATCCATCAATTTTTTTTAATTAAACACTATCTACAGATTTAAATCAAAGCGTTTTTTATGATAGTGTTTTTAATCACCGTCAGATATCATCTATATTGGATCTAACTATGACACGACCCTACTGTGCCGCGACCTCACTGTGCTGGGTTTTTTTTTTTTTAAGTATTATTTTACAATGAAATTAATACACATATTTTACTATTTTAGGTATAATTTAAATAGTTGTAGGATAATAAATTTTGGAATTTTTTTTAATATTTTGAAATCAATAAAACACTAGTTATTTGCCTGTAATTTTTGGAATTTCAAAGGGTTTTTTTTTCAGAATTTCACTTTGAATGTAATTTTTGCAAAAAAAAAAAAGGTTCATATTTAGAGGATCCTAGATTAATTGATTCTCTTATTATAAATACTGCAGTTACTGCTACATTGAATAGTGATCAGTTCAAATTTAAAACAGTTTTCTGCTGTACTTAATATGCCTTGTATGAGTAATAAGACTTATTAAAAATATCATGATTATATTGGTAAGCAAACTGAAAATTTATAACATTGTTTCCGAAATACGTAACCGCGACTTTTCAGTAATTTTTTCGTGGTATTTGAGTTATTACTTTTTAGTTTTTAATATGATAATATTTTCTATATAGTTTTAATTTAATTTAATATTTTATGAACTTCATTAGTCTTATGATTATATAATAGTATTGTATTTAAACTTTCCATGTAATTTTGTTCAAAATAATTTTACAACTCTATAATGACCTTTAAAATAATAATATGTGTACTGCGTTTTATTTTATTATATTTAATTTGTACAATTTTTTATACCTATAATTAGCGGTATTATATTTAAAGCCGCACCCCCACCACTAACTCACATGACCCGCCATTGATATCCTGAAAATTATTTTTAGTTGTTCAGTTTTGACAGACTTATGACTTTTTATTCGTGCGCTCAAATTTAATTAACTGATCTGTTCTTTAATGCTTAATAATGGTTTCAATATTTACATATCTATATTTTTCTCATGTTGAATTTATGTGTAGTTTAAATATTGAAAATTTATGTTCAATTATTATATTATTTAACTGTTTATAATGTTTTATATTGTAGTACGTGTTTATAATTTTTATTAAATTAAACCCATCTATATAAATTTTTTTAATATAATACTTTTATGTTTTTTAAACAATATGTTACTAATATTTATATTTATCATTACCTGCAAACCACCTATCGTTCCCGACGTAGCTGGATACTTGCTACACCTGTAGGAATCGCTTAACGTACCTAAAGACACGTTAGGACTGTTGAGCTTTGGAGACTCAAATGGAGCCTTGTATAAAAATAAATAGTTTAAATAGTTAAAATTTGTTAACAACATTTAGGTTTATTTAATTGCTTCATTTATTAATTAATGTATAATTCATAAAAAGCCTAAAAAACAATTAATGTGTGGTAGAACAACGTGATAATTACAATCGGGGAAAATGTGAGGCTTGAGTCCCCACGTTAGCTAGTTTAGAATTTTAATCGCGTAGCTTAGAAAAATGCTTTCATTATACCCTGATATATTATCGTGTCTATTAAAAATCTTAGTAGCATTTTTAATCTAGAAATAAAACGGGAATAGGTACATTTTAAACTGTGAAATTTTGTATAGGACTACATTTAGTTATCACGGTATTTCCGATGTATGTCAATTTTGTAATTAATATACAGTGGCGGCTCGTGGTTTGGACGACCGTACGATCGCAGCTCCTAATAAAATTAATTAATTGTATATTCTTAATTTTACATTTTTTTATAAATGCAAATTTTTAAATAGTACAATAATACATTTGTCGTGTGCGAACATTTAAGTTGTTTCCCTCAGTATATGCGTATGCGCATACACACACGAGCAGTGTTTGAGAAATATGCAGAAATGTATACTATTAGGGTGGCGACCAATGGCGTGTGTGCGGGTACGGTTAAGCTGCATTCTTATGTGCGGGTTTTGGACAACTGGCAGCGTCGTCCATACGGTAAACTATTATTATATTACAATATTATACATATAAACAAATTATTATTGTTTTTTATTAGATATTGTTGACACAAGTGTTCTTTTCTTATAACAGTTGACCCCTGTTTGTCTTTTACCCAGAAACCTTACTTAATTATAACCTACAAAATATACAACACAGATATATATATATTTATACATTAAACATTTATTGATACAGCTCACTTGATAGGGGGGGGGTGACTATGTTATGCTGCATTCAATGACCTCCTCTTTGTGGTAGTTCTTATTGTTACTTAGTCAACATTTTTTTTTCTATATACATGGCTGGTTTAAAATTGAATATGCGATGTAGGCAGTTTTGAAACAAACATTGAAATAAAAACTAAATATTATATTTTTTACTGCACTCTTTAATCAATATAAAAACTTTACTTTTAAATTTAAATACATAAAAATATTAATCAGTATTAATATCGTAGCATAAAATATAATCATTATCAACTTTTATTTTACCGCGAAAAAAAAATATAATTGATTATGGCTTGTTTTGAAGTTGACATTGTTAGATGGGTGATTTTGAAACCAACCATATTTTTCCATGATTAATTTAATTCAGTTATAGCCTGTTTTTAAGTACAATACTTTTACAGGACATTTAGTACAGTGTGACCATTTAGAAAATATAAAAAAAANTTTTACAGGACATTTAGTACAGTGTGACCATTTAGAAAATATAAAAAAAACGTTTTAAAAAAATTCACTTATATCTGGTTTTGAAACTATACGCTTCATTTATAGATCATGAGTTCAGGTTTATACTATTTTTTTATTGATCATAGGGACTTCCAAAATAAATTTTTGTTTTTTTTTATAGAGATATTGAAAAAAAATTTAAGGAATTGTGGTTAACTATAATTACATTTTAGTAGACTACCATGTACATTTTATTGTTGCACTTTAACCTTTTTAAAATTTGTGTTTATTTAAAGGTATGTTGAAAACTATCATTGTTAAATTCGTTAATGATTTTTATTATTTCACAATAAAAAGTAAACTTTTTTCCTTAATATTAAAGTATTCACCAGTTTAATATTTATGATAAATTGTCAAGTTTTTTAATGTAAAACAAATACGCAGCTTTATAATAAGTTCTTTATAATATCAAATGTAATATTATGTTATATTATATTAGCATATGTGATGTTATTATTTATATATGTATGTCACATACTATGAATATACAAGATAACCAATACAGGGTTCCACTGACTATAAAAACCCACTTTTCCTAATAATCCCAGTTTTATGGGGCTTTTTCAAAATACACAAAATCTGCAAGATTCTTACTCTCTGATACTTGGTAGTTCCTTTTTTAATTCTTTTGTATATAATAATACTAAATAACACTTAGAAATTTTAAAGTGTATCTTGTTCTAGTGACTCATTGAATTTAAATTTATTTGTTCATTAAATAATATTTTATTTTCTAGCGAAAGAAATAAATGTCAATTAATAATCTAAACTTAATTTTTTTTTTTATTAATAAACTTAACCTTACTATAAATACAAATTTTGATGATAAAAATGTATTGTAAGCTTTTCTTACTGGGTAATTAGTCTCGGAGCTTAATGTCTTCGTTTTAACGAACATCGCGCAGATGGACAGTGCAGAGAAACTTATTTAGATATTTTTAGTGTTAAATTTTTGGCTTGNAGATGGACAGTGCAGAGAAACTTATTGAGATATTTTTAGTGTTAAATTTTTGGCTTGATGATTATTGTGCCGCATCCTTTCAAGGTATCAGCGCCGGGACATATTGGGTCATAACAATACCGCCTTGATAACAGTTTTACATAGATACAAATATTTTAGTCTCGTTTTGGCTAGACCAGAGGAAGCTTTAAAAAATATTGGTTTCCATCTCTCAATAAAAAATTTTCTTAAATAAAAAAAATGCTCAATAAATTATATATTTGTTGAATAAAAATCAAAATAATGGTACATTATTAACATTATACATTTGAAAGATGATATAAAGCGTTTAATATTTTTTACAAGTAAAAGTCAATCGTAGATTCTGTGTAATTTGCTAGAATTGTTAAGGTTTGAAATTATTCCAAACATATTTGCAATTATTGTAAAATCAAATGTGATGTCAAACCATACACATCGGATAAATGATAGATGAACGCGCTTATCATCATATAACAACAATTGGATGTGATATTATGATAGTCGACAAAAACAAAGAGGCAAATATCAGATCAGATACTATTTGGAAATCTACTTTATTTCACACTGCACATACATACACATAATCCACACACTCCCTCACAAAGAACAAATTTAAAATTACATTAGTTTTATTTGAATTAAATAAATAAATTATAGTATATATTTAAGTTAAAGAAAATGTATTACGTATGAAATGTTAAGATTAAAATAGAAAAATGTGTTATGAAGTACAATGTAATATTATGTACGACATAATTTAAATGGGCAGAACTCAATTTTTGTAAATAAAAAAAAAAAAAAACCCNACCTTTCCAACCTATTAATCAAAAGTGAAGCTAATATAATTATTTTAAGCTTTAAAAATTAATTTGTTAAATAAACTAAAATAATTAAAAAAAAAAAATTGTATTTATTTCTGTATCTATCAAAAAATTTAATTTGTTTAAAACAATCTTTCACAATGAAATATTATAATTAATAATATGTTTAATCACACAGTGCTATGATATTAAAATTTAAATATTAAATTAATTGAAAAAACTTGTTTACTATAATTTTTTCAACTTATATTTTGAAAATGTGCCGGATATACTCCGAGCTTAAATCGTGTGTTAAAATAAAGTTTATGTTATGCACTAGAAGTTCAAAAAATTTTTGTCCCGACGACATATTTTCTATGTGTAAATGGCTGCCATAGTTTAAAAAAATGCTATTAAGTAAAACTTTATTTTTTCACTTTTAATTGCTTTAACTGTTTGAAAAATAAACGAATCAAAATAATTTTTTTTTATATTGAATTCTTAGGTATTTTTCTTTAATTTGATATAATTTTTTTAAAATTCTGATCCTTTACCTGTCCACACTAGTGGATTAAAAATAGAAACTTNTGATATAATTTTTTTAAAATTCTGATCCTTTACCTGTCCACACTAGTGGATTAAAAATAGAAACTTTTTTACGAAAGTCAACTTTTTCAAATTAACTTTTGGAAATGTTCCGAAATACTACGTTCTTTAAACATACTTAAAATTAATGTTTATGTTATGTACTATAAAATAAAAAAATCTGTCGAAAGTTACATTGTCACATTGAAATTTATTAAACAATAATAAATTATACAGTAAACACTCAAATAGCGGTCATTTATAAATTTTCAGACATAAACAATGTATTAAATTTCATTTCAAATGTCTTATAAGATCTGAAAAAAAATATTTTGTTAATAAATTTCATGGTCTTTGTTTATAAAAATTAATTTTACTATATTAAACGGTAGAGAAATTCACGATGTGTTTCGGGTGAATATGCATATGAAATGTACTCACCACCCCCTTCAAAATGGATTTCTATTCCTCATGCACCCGTAGTGAGAACATTCACGTCCTAGGCGTTTTTATGTTAGAAATACTTAAGCTTACGTTAGAATGGAGGCTCAGCTCTCAAAAAACTCAGAAAAATTATATTACTCTTATTAAATGGACCATTTCGGGGATGTGATAAATTTGGGGTAGTAAAATATGAATTACCATTTTATTTGTATAGTTGTTTGTTGATGGCTTATATAAATAATTAATAGTACGAACTAAAAAAATTCTAATTTTAATAGGTTCTGACACTTGTTTTTCTGAAAATATAATATCCTACTCCTATTCGAGTTATAAATCTCAGCCCTTTCAAATTTTTCATTTTTAATTAAAATGGCTTAAAATACATTTTTTATTCAGAGATGATCCTAGTAAAGGCTAAAACACGACTTTTATGTACGTTAAAAGAATCTAGAAATATATGTAGCGGAGAATATTGATTTATATACTCAGTATTATTCATAATTTAAAAAATTACCATCATATTTAACCCAACCATTTTGATCTGTCAATCTTTTTAGAATTCTGTCTTGTATTTCTTTATTTAATTTAAACATTGTAAATGCGTCGCGTACTTTGCTAACAGGAATATATCCATCAATATTTTTAAAACTTTCCAATATTTTAGTTAACCTATCAAGTCTACGATCAAACCAATTCATAAATGATAAAACTAAATTTTCTAATCTTGCTTCCTCATCTCCTAAACGAGAATAAATTAAACATGTATCAGTNCTCATCTCCTAAACGGGAATAAATTAAACATGTATCATTATAATTAATAAATTTTAATACATTTATACAAAAATAACAAAATATAACAATTTAAAGTGAACAATTAAAGATAAAACACTAATTTTTTAGAAACTATAATAATTTTAAATTGTTTAATGAATGTTAAATAATTATTTAATTATTTATTTGCATAAGCATCATTAAAATGTTTCTATAGTAGCCTATAATGTTTAGCTACGTCACAGGAGGGATTTAAAATGACTTTTTAACAAAAAATTTACTTTCCAACTTAAATTTTTAAAGTGTTCCGGATGTACTGACACTTATATATGTATTTTAAATTAAATCTTATATAATATACTTTATTATTGAAAAAAAAAAATTTGACCTCTAGACTTGTCTTCGTGGTGAAAATGGCTACCAAATGCTATTTTTGTGTGAAAATTCTCGAATTTATTTTTTACATTTTTTACTTTATAATGCTATAACTTATTTAAATGTGTATGGATCAACACAATTTTTTTATGAGAAATAATATTTTTTAATAATCCCTTTTTCATTCAGGATATTAATAAGAAAATAGCAGATCATGTAGCTTTTGGATCAATCCACCAGTTTATTAAAATTAAACACTATCTACAGATTTGCATCGAATCGTTTTTTATAATAGTGAATTTAATCACAGTCAGATTAAATCTATACTGGACCCAATTAAGCCACGTTCCCACTGTGCCGCGACACTATTGTGCTACTGTTTTTATTATAGTTCTTGCTGAGAATTTTTTTCGTATTTTTTCAATATTTAATAAGTTTTTAAAGAAGTAATTAGACCATATTTTTAGTGTAATTAATACTTATATTCTTAATATTATAAAACTTTTTTGTGACATGTTCTGAATATATTTTAAGATATTTGAATTTTGTTTTACAGTTTTTAATTACTTAAAAATCATACAATTTCAATCGAATGCTATGAAAATTTTTCTCGTATACCAAAGTTAAAAGTCTTGATACAATACTAAAAAAAAAAAAATTGTTTTATTTATGAATAAATTTACTGGTCTACAGAAATTTTCATCGGAGACACAACCATAATATACTTTTTTAAACTCATTTTTGCTACAATTTCAAATCAGCAATCAGAGTTTCGCATATGGCCAAAAAATCCTTCTAGTACATATCTAGTAATATAACAAATATTTATGTTCATATATTAAGTTACATATGAATAACCAAAAAATACATTTTAATTAAAAATAAGTTTAAAAGGTCTACTTATTATACGCATTTTTAATTTTTAAACAACCCTCGTGTAAAGGAAAATGTTTCGATTTAAAAAAAAAGGTATAAGNTTATTCGAATACATGAAAAAATAAATTGTACAAAATTTGGAGACGATTGGTCAACTCTAAGACGTGCCCCAAGGGGGTTAAAAATAACCCCCCAAGGGTGATTTTTTAGTTTTTTTTGTCTATCTCAAAAACTTTAGCTTTTGCGAAAAAGTTTATTTAAATTTATTTGTAGGTATACAATTTTTCTATAAAAAGTATATATACAAAAATTTTAAAAAAGTTCTTATTTAGCCCTAAAAAAATAAAAACGTATATATTCTATTCTTACCGTTGAAATTGTTAATTTATAAATCGTTCATTGTAAAAACATAAAAAAAATTCATTTAACCGTTGTTTTAAATTTAATTTTCTATACATTTTTAATTCGGCATTTTTTCTATTATTTACTATTCAAAACCTACAATTTTTTTTAATTTTAATTAAAAAAAATACATCAAAGTAAAATTAATACCGTCTCAGTTTCACATTGAAGCTAAAATAATGTTAACTTACAAATTTATATACAACCAGAAACTATTTACAAAAAAAAAGGGTAATAAAAAAATTTACTACATATTTTAAATAATTTATCATTTTTAAAATTCTTGGCATAATGTGCTTTTATTGCAATTAGGAAAACAACGCCGGTATTCTGTAACAATCTGTAATAGGTATTGTTTTTGTGCTTCGTCTTTTGTTAAAATATTATTATACTCTTCTATGAGTTTGACGCCCTTCTCTCCCAAATCAATTATATCTTTTAAATTATTTACTATTATTTTTCCTCTGATATATTGACTGTTGTCTTTCCACGACAAAGGATTGATATTTAAAAAATCTGTTTCAATGTCATATCTTTCAAACAACTTTTTTGACTCAGTTGAAATAAAATCATCTATACTTCTATTTTTAAAATTANCTATACTTTTATTTTTAAAATCATAAATTTCATTTATTCCTACTACTATACGTTTGTTTGTACATGGATCTTCTTCCCGATTATTTAATGAGTTTACCATTTTAATTTTAGTATCTTCACATAAATCATCATCATAAAATGCCAATGCTGCCGAATCGGATAGTAAGTACCATAAGTGACCCAAAATTTTTTTTAAAACTACTTTAGAAATATCTTTATCTATTGGTTCATAATCAATTATATTTTTAATAAATTGTAAATCTAAATTTGGCGCTAATGCAGCATTGGTGCACTAAACCATTGTTTAATATATAAACTCGTAATAAAAATATATAATGAACGAATATTTAACTCTTTGATTGACAATTCAAATTGGCCCCGAAATCAAAAAATTTTCAAACAATGAATGGCCTTGGCCATCTAACGAGCATGATGGATTGGGCCAGGAATTTTAAAATAAATTCTATGCAAATGTTAGGGCGTGATATTTTATACTTACCATGCAGAAATCACATTTATGAAATTATATTGAAAAGTGTTTTTGAAGTAAAATTTAATACGTCATCTGAACCAGATGTTTTCAATAAATTCCAAAAGTCTTGGCAAAATATAAATAAAACAAATTACTTAAGTGGAATAGAAGATACTGTTATTTTAGAAAAATTAAAAACAAAAAAAAACGATATTTTGAAATTTAGATTTGAACAATTACAAAAATACCAACCTCGAGATGACTTTTAGAATAAGTCATAATATTTTTTGGTGAAACTCCTTTACATAGAATTGATTTTAAAACTCCTGGCCCAATCCATCATGCTCGTTCAATAGCCAAGGCCATTTATTGTTTGAAAATTTGTTTTGTTTCAGAGCTAATTTGAATTGTCAATCAAAGAGTTAAATAATATTCGTTCATTATCTATTTTTATTACAAGTTTATAAAGTTTCTGGTTGTATATAAATTTGTAAGTTAACATTATTTTAGCTTCAAGTGAAATTGAGACGGTATTAATTTTATTCTGATGCGTTTTTTTTTAATTAAAATTTAAAAAATTGTAGGTTTTGAATAGTAAATAATAGAAAAAATGTCGAATTAAAAATGTATAGAAAATTAAATTTAAAACAACGGTTA